TATGGATCGAATCCGATCGAAAAAACAACTGGATTGTGTTTACACAGTACTGCCAAAATATTCATCCGCACAAGTTTTTTATTTGCACGCTTTTACAGCAGCACGAATATTCGTTGAAATACATGTTAAAAAATTAGTACGGATGCGTATTGTAATGTAAACGGAAGGGTTAACGACGCCAGTTTTTGAGCGGACGAAAACTTATCCGGTCTCGTGTAAACATAGCCTTAGTTTGCAAAAGATATTTGTTCAGCATGGTTAATTATTCATACTTTTTTCTATGTTCGTAGCAACTTATGGAAAATATGACTCTATTTATGTGGATAGTGTGGCTGTTTTACCTCAGTTAATGCCGCTTTGATGTTACACTTACGAAGTTTCGGCGTAATAAATTTAAGATGATATTCAGCGTGTATAAAGTACTTTTAATTTGTTTTGCTGTATAAAGAGTTTAAAACCATATGAAATCTAAGAGGCACAGAGCTGTAATATTGATATTTGTGATACTTGTGGTATTATTGATAAAACTACAATGCATTTAGAAAAAATTTTATTTTATTGTACGCTCTTTTGGGACACCCTGTATTGAGGCTCCCTGAGGATCAATAATGCTTAATCATGCTAATTCCAAATGTCCGCAAATTTCAAAGACGATCTTAGGCCCTGTTTACATGAGACCGGAACGAAGTAAAACCGGAATGAAAATCGGAATTTGTTGCATGTTTACATGGGACCGGCACGAAATCACGACAAATCTAAATTCGCGTAATGCCTCTTTTGAAGACTAATTTTACGCTCGCTAGTCATTTTGCTTTTGTAATTTGCTTTGTGCGCATGCGTTGATGCCATTTCAGACCGGTCTGAACTTTCGGCTGGGTTTACACAATAACGGATGCGTTTTAATCCGGATGAAATCTGTGACGGATAGGCCCTTCGTTTACACGGATCTGCTTGGATCCGTCCATGTTTTGTATCGCCCAAATTGTACAATTTTGTACCTGAAAAATTGAGGTACAATTCCGTGCCGGTACAGTTCCATTCTATATCAGTTACAGTGTGAACGGTTTAACCAGATAGGTATTTTACCGTTTTCAAGTGTATTTGACTACGAGACAAAACAGTGTGTCAGTGCTCAATTAAGATTTTAACTTTTACACTGCATTTTCCAACATGAGAGAGATTCCTATGAGCATTTTTGCATTTATTTTTGGTGCTGTGGCGACGTTGAACGTTGTTTATGAACTGGCGTTGGTAAATTATCGAGGGCAAAGACGAAGGTAAAGGCTTGATGAACAGAAGATGAGCAATATGTCGTTCTTTGCATCTAAATTACAGCATGTGTTTTGAATTTACGGCAGAAAATAAATAATGCAGTATTGTAATCCATACATATTATGTTTAAGTGTACAAAACTTACTAACTTGTACACTCATGAGTTTGCTTCAGTTATTTTCAAAACGACGTTCAATTCTCTTTTTAAGTTATGCTACATTGCTGACACAGTCGTCCATCGTTACAGAGATGAAAATAAAAAGTAAAAGAAAGGCAAAAGGATGTTGGGTGAGACTTGGGAGAACATCTCTGTGGTGGGAAAATTTCTTTTCCGGTGCTGTAGTAGGTCGTGAATGGAGAGAGAACTTCAGGATGTCACAAGACAATTTCATGAAACTGTGAAACGAAATCATAATCCCATTTCAAAAGGAAGTCATGAATATGCCAGTTCCTACATCTGTTGAGAAGCAAGTTGCTATGACTTTATTCTATCTTGCTGATGAAGGAAGATTACGAAAAGTTGCAAATGCATTTGGCGTTTCTAGATCAACTGTATAGTTGGTTATTAGAAGAGTATGTTTTGTAATTTCCATTGTATTTGGTCCTGAGTACATCAAATTACCTCAGACAGAACATGATGTTTTTGAAGCAGTCTCAAATTTTTATGAAAAAAAAAGCTTTCCACAATGCATTGGTGCTGTAGAGGCACTCATATCTTCATCAAACAACCAACCAACAATGCAAGTGATTTTAATGTGCAAGCTATTACAGACTTCAAGTATTGTTTTCTAGATGTTGAGGTGTAATGGCCTGGGAATGTGCATGATTCAAGAATATTTTGTAATTCAGACGTAAATGAGATGTTAAGAGAGGGTGCAATTCCCAGTTTGCCAGAAGTCTTATTACCAGGCACTGAACCTGTTGGAATTTGCATTCTTGGAGATCCGGCATATCCTTTACTCCCTTACTTGATTAAAGAATTCCCTGGTGTGGCCGCGTAAAATTCTTTTCTTCTGACACAAACGGTTTTCTCCTCTTAGTAACGGTAGACCAGTGAACTCAAACTTTTATTTTTCTTATATATGTACCGGTTCAGTGTAAACATAACGAATCCGTCACAAATTTCATCCGGACTAAAACGTATCCGTTACCATGTAAACGCAGCCTTAATTTGAGTTTACATTGATGCCGGTTTCAATTCATACCGCTCTGAACTCAGTTGGATCAGTTCAGCAGGCGGTTTGACTTCAGACTGCTCCGAGTCATTTTCGTAACGGTCCCATGTAAACATTTACTATAAATAATATTATGACCGACACGAGCTGGTAGCGGTTTGACTTTGTTCCGGTCTCATGTAAACAGGGCCTTAGTTTTTTTTAAATACCCTATTCAGAGTGTATAAAAGAATGAGCACGTTTAGAAATCAATGTATTGTTATAATTTTATTGCCAATCACTATATGCAAAGCACACTGGTGTATTAAGTACCTCGCGTTGATTAACATTTAATTGATTTAAATATATTGGTCAAGTAAGCAAATTGTAAGAAATCGGTTGTAACTTCATTTTGCTGTCCTAAACATACTTTATGTAATTTAATTTGTGTTTTGGATAACTGCTTAAATAAACATACTCTTCGAAGCGACAGAAACAATTTGGTATCTTAATATCCTTCCCTTTAATAGCCGGACATTTTAAGTTAGCTATACAAAATAAGACAAATACTACCGGCTGAACGGCGATTCCATTCGAAGTATGTTTTTTTATTTTAGCTATTTCTTAATGAATTTCTTTGGATTTGTCAACAACAACAGGTTCAATAACGAATAAATGCAAGCTTCTAACCTCAGAGATAATTGTTCTTTCATTGTCTTTCATGATGTAAATCCAACCATTTGTACACGGTGTCTTGTTCGAGTTATTCGTACCCTCAAACATATGGCAGCTATCGCGTTCTTTGTTGTTACTTTGAGTGTTGAATGGTATAAAATCGCTGAAATTTTTATTAGCATCAAGCTTACAATGGTGCTCCGTCTTTGCTCCATAAAATATCATGGAGAAATGAGCAGATAACATAATCATTAAATTAACGCTTATCAAAGAGAACATAAACACTTGAAACTTCCCTGGATCTCCTATTGCTCGTATCAAATTCTCCATGTTGTATATGTTATTCTTTTAGCAAGCTTAAAGCAAATTTGCGAAGTGTCAGTGAACTGGAAGCTCAGTAGTGGCAGTGGTAAATGGTAAACAAGCTGCAATCAACCTTTATGACCCTGGCATACACGTGACTACGAACGTGGTGAAAACAGCACTCATGCAGACTCAGACAAACAAACCGAAGAAGTTACATGAAGTATTATATTACATTAACGCACATGTGGAGAAGGTAAAGCGCTTTTTTCTGTATTTTTATTTTGCGAACTGAAGAACAATGATCAAGCAGTAATGATAAATTGGTTTTGTATGTTTTAGTAAGAAACGGCTCTTAAATTTCCTTTGCATTGTCATGCGTGTCTACTAAGTTTGCTCCAATGATGCTTGGCTGCTCATTTTACTGCTCTGTGCTCGCTTTCAAGGGCGAAACTAGAACGCTAATTGGGGTAAATATTCATATATTCAGCTCTGCGCTGCTGACTTCTTTTGAAACTTACAATACTTTTTTTATTGTTATGTTAACCAATTAGATCATTTTTCGTTACTTCAAACATGCATAATTGCATAAATAAAGTAAATGAAAAGCAAAGAGTATTGTGTCTTCAATCGATCAATCTTTAAGGGTAGCGAGAATTCATGTTAGTTGAATCCCAAGCACATATCTCCACCGTAGTGAGCCGAGTCAAATGAGCCGGGCAAAATTGGACAGGAGACACGCTTGAAATGCAGTGCAAAAATTAATGAGACGTTTTTACGAACACATGGAAACCGAGTTAAGTTAACTGCGTGATAATTATGCTTTTTGTTTGTATGACAAAAATATGCGAAAAAAACACTTTTTTATCCACATGATCGCTAATATTATCATACTTTATATAACTTCTTTGATTTGTCATTTGCTTGTTCGAGTGAATGCTGTTTTTACTACGTGCGTGGATACGTGTATTGTGCCGCGTAAATTTATTGGCTATTTATATACTGAGTTGTTTGTTTTTGAACTGTCAAAAAAAAAACTATAGAGAAAGCCAAATATCTCATTAAATCCTTCAATAAATTTTGCAGTTGGTTCTGCTCTTGGAGAAAGTTGACCAGAGCTAATTTTAGTGAAAACGACTGATGCAATTGTATGGCTTACATTTTTCACCACCGTTTGCCCTTTCTTTATTTAAAAAAATGTTTGGGAATAGACATGTCTATATGTTAGTTTTAAACAGCTGCGCACCAATTAGAATCATTTAGACTGAGCTGATATCTATTTTTGCATGATGAACTGTTCCCATTATCAAAACAAAAGCTATATTTTATCAAGTTTCTTCTCACTCCATTTGTTATATAATGCGTGTTGAAGAGGAACAAGATTCCATTTCCACGTTTGACAAATGAGACATTTTGTACAAAAGACTGAGCCTTCAAAACAGCTTTCAAATGCTGAATTCAAACTACGTCACTTTTAATCTGATTTTCTCCGCATCATTAATTACTTGCTTCGAATTTTATCATATCAAGGTTCACTGACTGAACGGCAATTCGTTCACCTTTCATTCAAAAGTCGCTAAACTTTTCCTAGTCAGCAAAATACATCAACATTTGCTCAATTTTGTTGTAAATTCTATTCTACATATTTCTGATTAGTCTAAAAGACCAGTAAATTCTTTCTAAAATTGGCAACTTTCAAAAACCTATTTTAATGATTATTAAAATGCAAATTATTTTTCCAATTGCAATTTCATTCACAAATTCGACTCCAGTAAATTATCCCTGTCCTTTGTCTTTTCTGATTGGTCTTCACAGTCATCCTCTCCTTTTTGTCTAAACCGTTCTGCTAGCACTTGCTGAAAAGTTTCTGGTAGAAATAACACTAAAATACTGCTGAACAGTAGTAGGATGCCAGTGATAATGTAAGGTATTACAATTGATGTCTTTTTACCCTACAATGGAAACACATACATTTCTGAGCTAAAAATATGTTTGATATGTTTGCATAACATATAAATAAAATTGTTAAGTGTGGTTCTAAAATGATCAACATTTTCATTTGATTAGTGTTGTCAGCTCTCTCACCCAATCATTTAAAACATGAAGTGAACTAATGAATCGATTTAAATCATTATACAAGCTTCTTCCCTCAGTAAAGCAAGCTAGCAGTGTGAAAAACAAAAATACGGTCATACGTACAACAAAGAAAAGTTGTGGAGCAACCATGGCACCAAGACGACACCAAAACATAGCCACTCCAAAACCAATATTCCTGAAAAAAATTTAAATGACTCAGTTTTTAGAAAACCGATTTTGTTAGCATAACGCACGATTGTAGGAATCAGAACAGGCTGTTGGCATCCTGATTTGAATCATGCAAAAACTGGCTACAAATGTTAAATAATAAATATGACGAAAGTAAATCATATTTAACTGTTCTTTTTTCACATTAGTGGACTATCGTAAATTTTTTCAATGTTTATATGTGCCATTTTTAATTGATGAATTTATAATTGAGTTGAGATCTTTAGAAGTGAATCCAATGATGGCTTTAGGTTAAAATAAATAGGGAGGGCTGAGACTTAGCAGTGCAGGCAAAGTGACGGGAGGGTTAAGATTACAAATATGTCTGCACAATTTCATCTTTGGAAATTCGCTACCAATCTATAGTTTCTTACTGAACAATAGTGAAACAGAAAGATCCGAGAGTGATCTTCCAAGACTGGTGGAGGCAAACTGGGAGAAGATAGGAGTAAAACAGGGTAAAGTGACACTAAGGCAATAAATTTGAGCAACCTTAAAACACTGGGTTGACAGCTAGTAGATAGGTAAATGAAACTGATTTATATTTTTTCGTTTCACGTGCCCTTTTTCCTTACATCGATGATCTTCTTCTACAATGAGAAGTTTAACAATTACAGAAAATGAAATTTCAAAGAAACGATTTGACTATATATGATAACCTACTATCTGATAGCTATTTTGTTTAGCTTTCCCTAGTTTTATCTCAATGAACAGCTCAGCATCTTTTTGTAAAAATCTTATATAAATATTGTTTTCAATACGATACCTGAGTATGGTAGGATAAAGCTCTGCTGTGTACAATATCATGACAATGATAAGAGTCCCTGAAAGAGATTTTCCTCCAAGCGCTGCAATCGTTCGAATCAAGTTTACATTTTTCGAATCTAAAAAATAAATCGTCTAAAAATCTGAAAATTATCCAAATGCATAAATCTAGATTTCAAGCTTGTCCTCTATATAATTAAACTTATTGCATAATCAAATCACGCATTATGTATTTGTGTTGAATGATTTTTTTAGTTTGATCGACAATTTCTACTTGATCAACTTTTTTCGCTGAAACCTTTCCTTTAGTTTTGGAACCAGTTGCACGCATACAAAATTTATGGTCAAGCATGCATTAAAAATAATCCATGACACACATTGCAAGCTACATTACGCCTTTCATGTATTAATTGTGGACAAATAGTTACATTTTCCAAGTGGAAAAATTCTTTTTCTTAATGTTTCTCTTGATGGTAATTGCTTGTGCTCCAAAAACAATTTTTTAGGCATAAACATATATATGTTTGTATACATTACAACTAAATGTTGTCTAAACACATTACAACTAAAAACATCACACCTAAATCATACATCACAACTAAAAATAAAAATATTTCACTTCACACTAATTCACAATGACAATACACGTTTCCTGTACACACAATACAATGACGTAAGAACCAGATAACAAATACGGCTAACCTGACGTTTACTCCTCATTTGACTCTGAAGATGACTACCGCTAAGGTTGTCGAAACGTCAGTCAACAACAACACAAAAAGTCCTTCTCAGGACTATACCACCCTGCACGATCTACATTTACAAACATGTAACGATACTCCCGGGTTCAAATCATTTACTTCATAAACATATACGTTAATGGCTATACTACTTCTAATGTATACGAAGTAGAGTTACCTGTATTTGTACCAGCGATCAAAGCGCATGTTACCAAAGCAACAGTACAAAAAGCTAACATAGCAAGCAACGGTTTTCGCCTTCCAAATCTGTACAAACAATATTTGCGAGGGAAAAATTGCTTATGAACATGATAAATACATAAAATCAAATGAAAATGCATTGTATAAAGATTAACAAGTAGGTTATTTTATTCCGAAATGATGTAACACTCTAGTGCCGTTGAAACTATCACAAAACGAAATGAAACTCAATCTAAACAAAATTGGACCTTAAAGATTAATCTTATATGTAAAATGATAACATTTACGTGCCATGTAGTAAACCCTTACGGGATTTCGTCAAGCGCAAGGAACATGGGAAATTTTTTGGTCGAATGTATTAACATATCCAATGCTAACATTTTTATGTATGACGCTATTTAGTCATAACACAGTATATGTACTGTTCTATTTCGACTTTATTTAATCCATCTGCATACTTATGACTTTATAGAAATTAACCACGATGCGGCACATCATCACTATATATAAACATCATAAGGGGAATGCTTACCTTGGAAGGGACCATAACAGAGATGAAATCATCAATACGTCAAGGACTTGACCAAAAATAAAATTGAAATATTTGTTTCCAAACAGGAAAGAAATGTTAAAAGATAAACCATAGAAAGTAATCGTTATGCTGAACCTAAGGAACATGAACAAGAATAAATATTTCGTACAGTGTTACTTAGTTGATGTCACATGCCAGTAACAGATCCAGAAATACTCAAAGAAAATTACGTTAAATACGTATAATTTTTTACCTAACAATGCTGCTGTTTTATGAATATCTGAATACTAAAATTTAACCGATCGAACTGTTTAGAGGTATTTTATGCACTTACCAAACAACAGTCAAAATAAGAGATATCGTGCGCAAGGAAGGTTCCCTATAGACGTCGAGTATGCTAGCTGTATTTTTTGTTTTGAGAACGCTAATTTCTTTCTCTGATTGTTCTTTAACGTTTTGAAACGTCTCCTCTGGAAAATCGAGTCTATTTGCCTTTGTAATTCTGCGAACAACTCTTTCAGCTTTTCTAAAATGGCCATGCAACATGTTCCAACGTACTGACTCTGGTATAAACCTGAAAAGTTACATTATAACTGTAAATGTATGTCATGCAACATTAACAATTGTAACAGTGAAAACATTGCATGCGTAACTTCAAAACAGTAAAAAATTACTACAATCATTTTCCTTATTCTCATATTTATTGACCATGCAAGAATTTTCTGCATTAACCATGTTTTAAGAGTAAAATAACACCAATAGAGTGGAGCGCGTGAGCTGATTGGTCTGCTGCTGATTTTGCATTAGCTTGTGCAAACCAATCTGCTCTCAAGCAATTTTATCAATCAAAGAGAATTTCCAAGTCAATCATAAATGCATGGTAGAGTTGAAAAAATTAAAACTTTTGTTTTTAATTTATCTGTTTCGCATTACTGTTATTTTCTAATAATATGAATCCTAAATGTAAAAGATGTAATATAATACAAAAGATGTTTTTCGTGTTTGCACTGGCCAATGAAAAAATTTGAGAGGTCCGCTCTGATATTCTTTCTCGTTCTTTCGAAGGTTTCTTTAAGTTGCATAAGCTTATGCAAGCACAGTAAACATCTTTTGTTTCTTAACTATTATACACATGTTAAGAACATACACCTGGTTCTCTGCAACCAAAACGTGGAATTAAAGCAACTGTAAAAAATACTCATAAACCATAACCTACATGGTAATCACGAAGCACAACACAGTGCTTGTAAGCGAAAACATTACGACTCGTAAACCCTTTAGAACATGCATGTTTTTGAACCATGAAACGGTACTTGTGAATCTTAAAACTTGGTGCTTTATACCATACCACAGTACTTGCTAAACAAAATGCATGCTTGTGAATCATGACATAGTAATGGTTAACCATATCTTATTTCCATAAATTATAACTAGTATTTGTGAGCTCTAACATTGTACTCAAGCCCCCTAACATGGTATTTGAGGACCATTATAGGGTACTTATGAACTACATCATAGTGCCTGTACAATACAATTAGCTTGTCATGAACCAGGCGCTTGCATAGAATAATAATGTGAATTAGAACACTTGAATAACTCTTACAAGCTTAAATAAACTAATTTGATTTTGTTTTTATTGTACTAATACTATACCATAAAGAAAACATCTGCATAAATGGTACAACAGATAGCACCAGTTGAAGATATCTCCAATCTTTGATGATGAGGGCAAGTACTCCCAAACAAAGTCCTCCAATATTGGCTATTAGACCACACAGTGCACCAATATGGCTGCGATATCTTGTCGGAAAAAATTCCATAGCAAGTACTACACTGGAGCTCTGAAGACCCTGCATGGAGTAAAATCAAATCCATATGACTAATCTCTACATAGCAAAGCTATCTTTAGACTTTATTCATATTTTTTCGTGGTTTGTGTTCATCTGGCATTCGTTCTCATGCTTTGCTCTTTAACAATTGTAGTTACAAACAAGATCATGCTATGAGTTAATGTACACGATTCGCGTTGAAAATATTTTGTTTCAGGTTTGTGGAGCTTATTTACTCAAAAAGACGTCTGTGTCATTCCTTGTGAAAAAAGACGTATCCGGCTGTTTGCATTAAATAAACGTGATGCAAAAATCGCCAGCCATTAGTAGAAAACGCGTGCAAATGACCAAAAACTTGTGCAAAACTAAAATCCTTTTTTAATTTACTCTAATAATAAATTATTAAAAAACTATTGCATTCAAGTCTCAATCAGAGCGTTTGGTCGGGGTAAATTCAACAATACATAAGGCCTGCAAAAATAGTTTTTACGCATAATGTTGTTTCGTACCAGTGAGCGATCAACGTCAATAGGTCATTAGTTCTACCATGTCAGGCTGATTTCTTTCAAAAATGAAGTTTAGAAAGTAGCGAGGCATTAGCAACATATATGCATATAGTCCCCACCCTTAATTAAAATAACATTGGCAATAATGACATGAAGGAACGTGTTGTTCACAGTTTCCGTTTCTCATAATTTCTACAGCAAGAATTCTGGAAAAGAAACTGTTTTGAAATTGGCTATCCCAGATTAATTTACCAAATTGGTTTACTTTTCTCTTAGTCAATGCATGGGAATTTCATAGTTACAAGACGATGCATGGAAAATACATAGTTATACCTGCATGTTCAGTCCAAGAAAAAATCGAAAGATAGCGAAAGCAATATAATTTCTGAACATAAAGATGGCGATGTTCAGAATTCCTGCCGCTAATAAAGTAAAAGCGATGACAGGTCTTCTGCCAAACTTGTCCGCAATGACACCAAAGAAGATTCCACCCAATGTAACACCAGTGAAGTAAATTGTTGTAGACAAGTCCACTTTGTATGCATCATCACACACCAGGTCAAACTGTTTCAAATGATGACAACAAAAATTAGCGACGATTCAAAGTAGCTTAGTTAAAATAATTTTGATTGGATGCGTTATAAGTCTGAGTCTTGTTGTAAAGTTTTGAGTGGTTTGTTACGTCATTCAAACAAGAATTTCCATCGCCCAAACACCGACAACCTACTGAAGAACAAACCGATATCATTTACAAAAAACCCTATAAGAGAATGCGATTGGAGTTTAATCAGTAAAACAGGCAGATGTTTCCAGACATTAAAGAAAGAGCACATGAGGAATGTCGAATTGGGACACATTCGGGGACTATGCATCGCTGTTTATGCTTGGGAAAATAACCATATCATTCAAATAAGTGCCATTTAGAATTTGCATGACTCAGCAGTAATTGATTGTCGATGAGTCAATTTGTATTATCATACTCTTGCGGTGATTAACAATTGATTAATTGATTTAATATATTGGTTAAGTTAGCAAATTGTAAGAAATCGTTTGCAACTTCATCTTGCTGTTCTAAATAAATCCTATGTATATAAATTTGTGTTTTGGATAATTGTTCAAGTAAATTAAACATACTTTCCGTAAAGACAGGAACAATTTGCTTAAAATCCTTTAATTTAGTGGCCGAACATTTTATTACACCTTTTGCCTTTCATTAAAGAAACTTCGATTTTTGTTAACACAATGTCACAACTTCAAAAACTTAAATTATAATTTAACTAAGCATTACATGAATTACAATATGCCTTAAATCATATTCTATAGTAACTTTTCGCTCTCAAATATGGAAATAAATGATGGATTATAATGATAGTGTATTCTAGAAGCTGCCACATTGTGTTAACGAAATTCGAGTTTTGCTAAATACAGGCAAATGGTGTATACAGAATGACACATACACTAAATATGATTCTTTTGTTTTAGTTATTTGTTAATAAATTTGTTTGAATTTGTCAACAACTAGACTTTTAACAGACGACAGAATGCAAGCTTGCTAACCTCAGAGATAATTGTTCTTTCATTGTCTTTCATGATGTAAGTCCAACCATTTTTACACGGTATCTTTTTTGAGTTATTCATACTCTCAAACATTTGGCAGCTATCGCGTTCTTTGTTGTTACTTTCAGCGTTGAATGGTATAAAATCGCTGACATTTTCAGCAACATCAAGCTTACAGTGGTGCTCCGTCTTTGCTCCATAAAATATCATGGTGAAATGTGTAGATAACATTATCATTAAATTAACGCTTATCAAAGAGAAGATAAACACTTGCAACTTTCCTGGATTTCCCATCGCTCGTATCAAATTCTCCATGTTGTACATGTTGCTTTTTTAGCAAACTAAAAGAAAAGGATATGTAAAGTTCTTTGTTATGAAAGCACAGACTTAGCGTCCACATGCACGTAGCCGAATATAAAAGTCTTTAATCTTCCTCACGTAGCCGGATATGAAAGTCTTTTTGATTGTCTAACGGAGCTGGATAAGTCTTTGATTGTGTACAAGGTCTGCACGTTGCCGGACGTTAAGATCATCGACCGTCTGGACGTAGCCGGTTGTGCGAGTTTTGATCTTCCAGACGTAGTTAAATATTGTTTAAAGTAGATTTTATATTTATAATCTAGCTAGAGTTATGATTTATGAGTCTACTAAAGTCACTTAACCCTTTACTGCTGGAAGTTTTTGCCATGGATTTCCATCATGTTCATAGATTGTTGCTCTGAAGCAACATTGCGCAGTAAGGGTTGAGCAGCATATATCAAAAGCTATTTTGATTCCTACTTAGAATACATAAACAGCAGCCATTTTAAATAAAATCTTACCGGGAAGAGAAGACATTAATTACTGGAGTTTAAAAGACTACCATGTACTTTTCGCGCGGGAAGATCAATAAATTGAAAATTAAATCCTGATTTCCTGCTAGGGACTATAATGTGTTGAGCTGGTGACAATATCTTCCTGCAAGTACCAATGATGTTGAATATAACCCTAGGTTATAAACTTGAATGGAAATATAATAAACCAAATTTTAAATTTGAGTGGTGAATGCTCCTTGATACGTAATATTTTATTAACAATCTCAACCTACAGTAGATTTAAAACTTCATGAATACACTACGAATCCACGTATAAGGTTTGAGAATTCTTGATATCATGCAAAAACTAATTTCATTGGAAAATATAAAAACGAAATGCCATATATTGATAATTCTATCATCATACAATGACAGTGCCGTCTCGCAAAACATTGAAATTATCGTTAGGTGACGTAATATTTTTTGACAACTCTAAACAAAAAATGTATTACGACAGAATTTTGCTTAAAAGTTATTGAGCAATGGTTTTTATAACATAACATGCTTAACATATGCGTGATGTTCACACCCGTCAAAAAGCTTCCAAATTTCGTGCCCTGTAACATGGTCGACAACAAACTTGAACTTGTATAAAACAGTTTTGTCTGCAATTGATATGTTAAAATTGTACCTGTTTAAGAATGGTTTACTAAACTTTACACAAGTTGGATCACAATTTACACAGGCTGAGACCGGACAACAACTTTTAAGGACACTTTTCAAAAAATTACTTTAGTCTAGCTAGTGTTTCTAATAAAAAAAAACAGAAAAAACACCATACCTGAAAAAACAAAACTGAAACGATTAAAACGATTTAGGATTTTACGAGAGGCTTGAGAATCAACTTTTAACAGAGCAACCATGCAATATATTAAGAAATTACATGGTTGCCTCGGGATCTTATGTTATCACAGTGACGTTTATTGACGTATTTTCCTCAATTACAGGGATGAGGGATATTTAGTTCTAATTATCCCTCATCAATATATTCATCAGGAACGTTTAGACTAAATATCCCTCATCAATAATAAAATAATACGCCTTGTTTTCACACTTTATTTTCATCATGTAGATATTGCTTAAGCTTACATCTTCACTTTTCCACGACTGAATCATTTACATTTCTCCTAAATGAAAAAGGTCAATAGCACGATGTCAGGTACTTTGAAACTACAAACTTCGAGGGCAAGTTTACCAAGGCAAAAGTCTTCTTGCTCGACTGTTGTTACATCGTTATTTCTTTAGATTCAGACACGAGTAAATATTTCGCCCTATAGTTCAAAATCACCAAACGTGCGTTATAGTGAATGCCCTCGTTTTGTGTGATTATGTATGGAGACTATACATACATGGTGTATCAAAAAAAAACAAACTGGACAGATAGGAAAACTTTGCTAAAGTTGTCAGCGCATCAAATAATATTTATTTACAGAGCAATGTCGAAAGCAAATAAAAAAATTTATATAATGCCTAAAAATTTAAAGCTGCCTTAATGAAGAATGAAAATTTTTAGTACGTGAACACATATAACTTTTATCTAAATGAATTCAACCGATTTGCTACTTTTTATATGCTTTAAAGCTGAAAACTGACATCAATGACCTTTTCTCAATGTGTGGTTGCACAGACTTGTCGATAACATACTTAATACCATGGCTGCCTCAATTTCTAATGTTCTAGTTAGACAAAATAACAACGTGCTTAGCTGATTAGAATTCTCTTATTTATTTTTATAAGTTGTATTACAAGTAATGTAATGTCTGTTATGACTTTTAAAGATGCAGTTTTTTCGTCTCACAAATCGAGAATGTTAGTGAATAAAGCGTATGGTTCATAAAATATTTTCCTTCTGTCCTATGGACAAAGAGCAATCTCACAAATTATGACAAAATTGAAACGTGAGTATTGAATAACGTACAAATAAAATTTTTGTGAACACTCATTAAATTATTAGTTAGCAAAAGCAAAACATGGACGCTAGTTGAGGGTTGTGAATATTCACCTATTTACCTTTGACGATTGTATTTTTTAATATTTGAATTATCAGTATACAAATAAATTACGATTAAACAGATAATTGATTGGCTATATTAGTTTGGATATTTTGTTCTTGAATTGACCTCGTTCATATTTTATACTTAAAAGTGCACTTTGTGATAAAGAGAGCTGACTGTTGTAAGCATTTATGCTAGAGATTGTTTGAGATTTAACATCAACAAAAACTATAAAACATCTTAGATGACAAATCATTTAAATGAGATAAGAACAAAGCAATATACATTTTATATTTCTACAGCAATCACAGAATCTAAACTGTTATTTGGTGCGTACAGTTTTTAGTTTATTATTCTAGCGAAGATTAATACTCCCTGAAGGATTAGAAACACTTTTTTTGTGATTCTGTTGGTCTTGGCCACATGGATCGTGTGTTGGCCAATTACCGTTGATGCTGCCATCAAAGAAATAATAAAAAGTACTGGCTGTCAGGTCGGGGCCAACAGGAAGCCATCGTATTGACGAAGGAACGTTGTTATTACATGCAGAAGCAATGTTTTTGATATTTTGACATGAAATATCTCCATCTTTCTTTGTTGCCAAATTTCCAGTTCCAGGTTGACAAACGATCCAATCATTTATATTTGACGTCACAAGAAACTCATTTCCTATGTCCTTCCATAGCTTCCAATCCACTGCTCCAAATGACGTTTTGTTGAGTGGAGAAGTCTTTGAAACTGGGACGGTAGCTCCATTAGCAGGCCAGCTAGGTCGGGGAGTTACAGCATTGCTAGTTGATGTAAAACTTTGGTAGTTTGTGAAGGTGTAACTATAAACTAGGGTCCAGCCTCCTCCCTGTGTCTCCATGTCGCAATAAACTTCAAACGTCTGATTCGATACGTCGATCCAGTAGACTCCAGAGATTGCAGATAGGTATTTTGTTAAAATATCTTTGCATGACTTTCCTGTTTTAGATGGTAATTTACCTATAAAAACGACAAACAGCTCTTGCGTTGTGTCATAATAGGACGGGTAAAAAATTTGAAATCAAGAGCAAATTGGGGATACACATACTGTGACTGTTTTTTATTTAGTTGTTGCCTAAAGATTGCAATCGAAACTCTGAATAGTAACATTCTTAGGGGCTGTTTATATGGAAGCCGAGCTGCCCCGCTTACCGAGATAGCCTGTTTTTTTCATGTCACCCTATTTGCCGAGCTAAATTTTAAATATATTACCAAAAATGTGGGACATAATGGTGGATAAGAAAGCTATTTTTCAAAATAGAGTCTGTTTTTTATTGGTAAAGGAGTCGTGGAAATTTCAAATTCAAAATTACACATAATAATATGGCATATTACCAAGCTGCCACCACTCGATAAATGTGATTAAACATTTGCATATTTTTCTCAAGCATGTCAAACATCGTAATTTTCTAAGACAAAACCAATGTTCGTGCTCTTCATATTTATTTTTATTTTTATATGTTCCTCCAAAGATTGATTCAACGAGAAAAAATACTTTTAAGAGTCTTATAAAATTTTATGAAACTCCCATTGTTATTGAATATTAGTTACTTTAAAGAGCAACCGCTGAGTGCGAGCGCAGACGCAAAATGTCTCTAATTTCTGGTAATGATTTGAGCATGTGTACGATAACACATTAAAATGGCGGAATAAGTGCACGTGCAAAAGCGAGCAAAAAAGACACGAGAATGGTTCAAAAAAAGAACTTTCGCTGAGATACAGAGATGATGGAGCATTTGTTTCATGTGTCTGATTATAAGTAGAGCATGCTTTATACAAGTCTTGATTTCGACCGCGAAAAACGTCTCGTCAAGCGAGGTGAACGTCATGTAAGCACATCAAAAATTCATCTTGCTTACAGGGCTATCTCGCTAAGCGGTTCAGCCCGTCTCCATATAAACAGCCCCTAAGGAACTGTTCACATAAGCCCGGTAACCGGGATTCAACGAAGCGTGAAATGATTTTGAGTCATTGAAAGGAGTAGAAACTTTAAGCGCAAAACTTAATCTTTTCTTATAAGCGTCAGATGTCATTTTAGTCGTAATTTTCAAATTAGGCTAAATTATTTGTTTTGATTTTAAAGTTTTTGTGAATTTGTAAAGTCAGATTATAGAGAAATTGCTCAAATAATATTTTTGTTTTGAAGTTTGTAATCTTTTCCATTTGTCAAAATGATTTAACGCTTCGCTGAATCCTGGCTACCGGGATCATGTGAACAGTTCCTAAATAAACATTGAACCATCAAAGTTATTTATTTCTTTAGAAATATATAAAAATGGATGCATAGCGGAAGTAAAAAGTCTGGAAGGCTACGCTACTTATTGAGGGTTGCAGTTAGGATTGTCGAGTATAAAAATTAATTTGTAGGGAGAGCAAATTGTATCAAAAATCACACTAAAAATAAATAACTGTTTAAAGAGAGAACAGCACGAACGTTATTTAACTGTTGTAGTGCTGTTGTAAAGGCTATGAGATACAACAGTACATACCGCCATTTTCTCTCAACTTCTACTTATTGGCATGTACCTAAATTAAAAGATGTCAAAGTAATTAATGACTTGATATTACAGACTTTAAAACTCTACAAACTGATCTTTAAAACCTTTCTCTGGGTATCAAACAATTCGTAAGAACACCATGTTTTATAATTGCATTTTTCATAGCTCTGTGGTCGTTTGCTGACCAATTGACAATTGACATTTTCCGCCAATGTATCTTTTTGAAAGTTAATCCCAGCACAGATTGGCTCTTGTAAACATTTCAATGAACATGAAAAGTGCGATGGGTACGTGGCTTCAAACAAGACATCTTGAATCAGTTTACATGTGCCTAAAAAATTTGTAAATACAATTGTATTTGTAAATACATTAATTTTACAAATAGACGCAGGACAAGCTAGTTATCAATCGAATCCACAATTAACCATACAATTGATTAAACCATATTTTAGTCATGTATTCAGATGATAAATGCCTTTTCAAGAAGCCGTCGATCGGTATAATAATCGTACGAATACGGAAATTTTACAAGAGCGCCTGCAGGTATTTCACGCGTTAAAAAATAAAATTCCAGTGGCGGATGGACTTATTCAATGGGCACCTAAAATGTATTACCGAAATCATTTGCCGTGCAAGCAAAGCGACATGTACCTGAAATATTTTCAGATTTGCATCCACGGACGGGAAGTCGATTAAAGATCACGAATTAGAAGAGGAAAAAAAGAAATTAACAGAAATGACGAAAGATTATCAACCTAAACAAAAACAACCCGCCGCACCCGTATCAGCTACGCCTTCGACAAGCGCGGTGTATCCGTATTATGTAAATCCAGCCGAATTAATGTCACGTGAAAGCGCGACGGCTATAGGCCAATCACGCGGCGCTCGCGCGGCCGTACGTCAAGCTAATCAATATTTGGATGCGGCGCGTCAACAAAATATTAAAAAAGCTGATGAAGAAGATAAGCTTCAAAATATTTTAAAGGAATTGGAAAAACTCAAAAAAGTAGTAAATAAAAAAGAAGAAAAGAAACACAAGAAACATAAGCATTAAATGTATTTAATTTAATTTAATTTTCAGTAAAAATTTTTAGTTGCATCAAAATGTCGTACGTGCCTGAAATTAAGAAACGCAAATATGAAGATATCGAATGTTTTGAGGCCGTATTTGATGAAATTACGATGTTTAGTCGTTTTTTATCAAAATTTGAATCGAGTTCACGCGAGCGCTTCGAAAACGAACAAGAATTGTCGACGCAGCGAAAATCACGTTTATTAGCAAGCGAGAAGGATTTAATTACTAAACAGAATAAATTATGCGATGAACAACAGAATTTTAATTCGAAAAAAGCAGATGTTTTTAAACTATTTGAAAACGAAATTAGCGCATTAAAACGAGAATACGAAACGCACATTGAAGCAAAAGAAAACGATATAGCTTTATATAAAACTGAAATATCGGAATTAGAAGAAAAAGTTATCGAACATAATGAATTTGAAAAATATAAACATGAAGTTGATGGACGTGATCAAAAAGTCAAACAACGCCTTGATGAAATTGAAAATGAATATGTTTTACGTAAGGCCACATTAGATCAGAAACAAAACGAAAATGAAACGAAAGAATCTGAATTAAAGAATTATGAAGAATCGTTAGAAAATAATATTAAATTAAAACAGAAGGAGCTGGACGAAGATTATACGGCAAAAACAACAGATTATGAACAAAAGCTCGCCGACATGAAGATTCATTATGACAATGAACAAACAGCTATAAAGAATACGATTGAATATGAATTTCAAATGAAACATGAATTATACTTAAATGATCAACAACAGATTATCGATAATTTGAAAGAGGAATATAAAATGAAAACGGATAAACTCTATGCTAATCTAGAACGAGAAAAAGAAATATTACACAACCAATATGAAAATCAAAAAGCCAATTTAACGGAGGACATTTTAAATCGGGAACAAGAATTAGAAAAAAAGAATGCTAAACTCCTTGAAAAAGAAACAGCATATCAAAAGAAATCCGAACAATTGGAATTAGATCATATTCAACTTGATTTAAAGGAACAAGATCTTGCCCGTGAAATCGATTCGATTAAAGAATAAAAGGCCATTTTTAAAGCGAAAAAAATAAAATTTGAGAAAAACATAATATCTAAGTGCACGCCATAGTTATGTGACGTCATAATTTTAATCAAGGAAACATTGTAATTTTATATAGAAGCACGCGTTTTTTTCCAAACTTAGATATTGACTTTATGAATAATTTATAATATAAGTGTTTATAAAGACAGGTTGAATCGTCTTATAATATCGCGACGAGAATTCAAACAAAATGTAACGAATTTACGATGTCTTAGGCAGCGTTCAATAAATATATTTTCATCTTCTTCGTTCGGTATAGGCGATACGGCTTCGACTTGCATTTCATTTGCGGCAGGCGGTGTTTCTCTATTTTCTTGCGTGTTTTGCGTGGATCCTTCATTTCCGAAAATTTCCCGAGCAATTCTATTTTGTTCCAAATTTCTTGCGTTGTTCTCTTGATTCGCTTCAGTTCTTTGCCGTAAATGAAAACGATCGAGGTTTAGTTCGGAATTTTCGCGAATTTCTTCTTGTCGTCGTCGCGCTTCCTGATACGCGTCTCGAATGTATTGAGTATCCCGAAAAACAGCTCTATGCCATCGTTCATAATACGGTATTTCATGTTTTAGAACACTACGCGTTCTTGTATAGTCGGTTTTTCCACGATTTATGAAATAATATGTAAGCGTTGCTTCGAAAATATTTCGTATACCTTTTAAACACGCCTCGTAGCGTTCATTTTCTGTTAATCTAGAAAATATTTGACGATATTGTTGACGATGAAATTGAAGCCTTTCTTCTTCGGTGCGTCTTTCAGCCATTGTATGTAAGTATACTACAAATGTATTATACTATTTTATGAATTTGTAGACGTCATATGTTTGCATTTAAATTTTATGATTTTTTTAACCACGCCTTAAAAAGATGACGTCATTAAATTTGTGTTACATTATAAGGTGGTTCTTTTGGGCATAATTTTAAATCGATGAGAAACTCCCACAGCCAATTTATATCAATATTTATTTCAAAAATGCATAAAGGGAAATCAAATTAACGATTTTTAAATCAGCTCTGTGTTTATAATTACATTTAGAATTATATGAATTAAATTTGGATCTCTAGTTTAATATATTATGTGTTTATCAACATAAAAAGAATCCCTCATTTGGTCGAAAACGAAGACGAAAAGATATTTATACGTGGCAGTTGGTGTACTATTATTTGATAAATTGAGGCGACAACGTCATTTGTTTGTTTAATATATTGAAATTTTATAGTTTTTGTTAATCACACCTTAAAAATACACTGCCATTAAAGTTTATGTTACACTACAAGTGGTTTAATAGGTCCTCTTCGAATGAATCCATCTTGATTTTCATGCTCGTTTGGATAATTGAAATCATCGACCCTACAAATGCCTTTAAGAATAGGATCGGGAATAACCGAGTTTGCCGGTAGATTGTGTTCGGAAATATGGACGAATACACGCACGCTAAAATTTCGAAAATCATATGTAATTCTATCTATTGTTATCCCAATACCGTGCTCGATGAAAAAAGACATAATGCCGTCGCGAGGAAATTTCTTATACACTCTAATGATCTCTCGATACCAATCATCAAAAATCGCATCATCTGAGTCTTGTGTTTTACATATATAGTAATATGCGTTATCTTCAACGTATTGAAAATATTCGCTGTCGAGAAGACCGTGATAAAATGTTATTGATAACCCCATTAGACATACTTCATCACAATCCTCTAGGTTGTAAAAGTTATATGCTGAGAGAAGTTTGCTGTTTTCGTCGCGATATATTTTATCGATTCTATTTAATACCCAGGCTTTACTCTTCTTAAAGATTTTTCCTTTCCGCTCTGCCCAATGATTATAATATACGATCATTTCAAATGGATGTACCAAATGTAAAAATTTCAATTTCGGTTCTTCGGGGATCTTTCCTTCATATGTTAGACCTTTACGAATTTCAATCAATTCCACATTTGCCTGTTCTCGAAGATTACGATTACTGCCCTCACGCGTCAAAGTTGTTGTGGGGCAAGCGATCGAACATCTTTTAAGGCGTTTTCAAAGATTTTTGTATTTTTTCGCGATTGTTTATAGCAACACGCATAGTAACGAAACATGGCAGATGGTTTTTTTCAAAATTTTATTTTGACAATATTATATTTCTACATAAAAATCATATTTTATTTCTTCAAATGGTCCAAATGTTTTAAAATATTGTTGAATTTTTGAAAAATTATCACCACAATAAAACGCAAAAGGAATAAAATCATAACAACCAATATTTACGCTGTTTCTCGGATCATCGCCACTTTGTAGACTATACCCATTCGGCGATGCTTCTCCTTCTAAAATATAATGAAATCCATCAACGCCGCCCGGTCCATGTTTTAATTTAGACTCGCGGAATGCTCCAAACATTTTATACGCTAATTCCATAAGACGTAGAAATGTATTAACATTTAAAAATAAACGATTTTTTGAAAGAACAACACATTTTTCATCTTCATGGAAAGCGACACGTTTGAGTATAACATAATCATTGGCTTCATCGCAAACAACTTGATATCCATCCCGACTATCCTTCTCAATGAATGGTTTTAAACTTTCAATTTTATTTGGAATAAACATGAATACGGTTTGTTTGCCTTGTGGTTTAAAAAGAGCACATTCTTTAAATTGATGTTGAATACGTAGTGTATTTTGTCCAATGTATCTGTAACCGGGCCGTTGAGCCATTTTGGTTTATTAAAAATTTTGTCTGCATGTGTTTTATAGTAATAATATAAATATTAATTTTTTTGGAAATTTTCCATATGATAGCAACAGCTGCATATTTTAAAATTAAATTTCGACAATGGAACATGAAAAAAATTTAATCTCTTTGCCTCCAGAGATAATCCAACATATTTTATCGTATTTGCCGCTGTTCAAATTGCTTAAACTATATTTTTATATTAGAAACAAATATTTGAGAGTGCAACTTGAAAATTATATCTATTATAAGAAAATTCTGGAAAAAAACAAGTTAGCGTCGATGCTTCGCTATGAATATTGGTATCTGAAACATTTCTTTAAACATTTTCATTTGAAGATAAACCGCCAGATTTGCCTACATTTTATCGATGTATTTGAAGAAGGAAACGAACGAAGATTCAGAAGTGAAACTTTGAAACAACGTGAAGTGTTAAAGCGACGGAGCAATTTTATAATTCATCGTTTCGCGTTATATCAAGAAAGCTATAATCTCAATTTCTATATTCCTAATTTCTTTAAATTCTATTCATCTTATAAAGAATTAATACAAACAATATTGAATGATTTTAAAGACAAGCCTTATTTAGGGTGTACAAGATCTAATTATAAAATATTTAGCGTATATGATGCACAGCCTGAATTTCGCGGCGTTTACGCCATGATTACTTACACTGATTATCGATATATAGATCAGAGATATATTTTCTTTGTTTTCAAAACTTCTTACGATAGCTTTTACGGTGATTTTGATGATGTATTAAAAGAAGATGACCTTAATTTTTTTACTGATTAATAAATAATTTCTTGGAAATAAAATTAAGTGTTTTTAGGCTGTATATTAACAATAAAGAAATTTTAAAAACCAACAAGACACATTCATTTAAAAAATTTATTGCGTATTAAACATAAATTTTAAAGACGCGTTGCTTTTTGTTTATAATTTTGAACATAATCATCAATGTATTCGACGGGTGTTTTTTTAAGCGTGTTGCCACCTGCAAAAATTTGTATTGCTAATTCTCTGGCGCACACGTAATTTAAAGCAATTTTTTGAAATAAAAACATAGCTTGAGTTTCATCAATTAACCATTGTCTTGTGAATGTTTCTTGTGGACAAATATAGTCGGTAATAAGTTTTACATCACCGTGTTGTTTACGTAATTCTTTAGAATGTTCATTGAGATAATCAATGAGACGATAATTTAGGCCTAAATCAAAATATAATGTAAAATTTTCATGCATAACGCTGCCTAGGCGCGCTGTTTTGATAAGGATCGTCTTGATATAAAGTCGCTGCTGCTTGCGGTGTCGTTGTTTGTTTTACAGGTCGTTGTCTGTTCACATTATTTTCTGCTTTCTGAAATACGCGAAGTCGAGCCATTTCTTTAGCTTCTTTTACACGTAATTGCGATAAATAACGTTCGTGAGCTCGATTTTCTTTTTGAATTTCAGCTTTTTCTTCAGCTAATTCTCTCTTTTTTTCTTGTTCTTCAGCACATTTATCATCGGCTTTTTTATCTTCATACGCATTCCACGCAGCACCCCAACGTTCCCTAGCAACGCGTGCATATTTACGGCGATAACTATATTTGGAATAAATTTGTTTCAGTCCTCGCTCATAACCGTATTTATAATATTTTCTCCATGGAGCTTGCCATGGTTTAACCCACCACCCTGGACGGCGACCTCCAATTTGATTCGATTTTAAAGGAATACCTGCTGGTTTTTGTTTTACTATATTTTTAGTGCGCACGGGTTTACGTGTTATTTTTTTACGTGGCATTTTTTTGTTCAGTGGATAATATTAGTATCCATAAGTATCATATATAGAATCAGTGGGTTGATCGTTTTCTTGTTCATCAATATTGTAGCCTCCGGCACGACGCGTGTTGTATTGTGCTGGTTTTCCCGTGTACGTATTAATTCCAGCATTATATAGCGAACGCGTTGTCGAATATCCTAGTTTTTTATTTTGATTATAATTTTGATAATAATCGTAAATTTTAGGTCCACGATCAAATGCTTTTTGAACTAAATCGTGTTTTTTTTGCAAATTGAAAAGCTCTACGGCCACCGCACCTTCCAAATCGATAAGCGCTGCTATATCCACGATTAAATTTCCCGCCGACATTAAATGTTCTAAAATTACGTAATTTAAATCCACTTTTGTAAATTCATCCACCGAATTTATTAAATCGGATAGGAGCATTTTTGGCTGCTTTTGCCGCCTTACTCAATCCTTTACCGACGTAGCGAATACTACGCGCACCATGGCGTCACCCATACGTAATAACTCGACCTCCTGTTTTAGCTAAAGTGCCAGCATATTGCCCGTATCGTCCACCGATAGCTAATGCTTTTCGACCATAACGTCCCCCATAATTTAATGCTCTACCACCGAATCGTGCGCCATAACGAAGACCTTGACCTAATGCTTTTTGCGCACCCCACCCTACGGCTTTGAAAAATGGTTTTGAAACAAGATTAGTGGCAAAATCAATTGGTTTTTGTGTAAATTGAATGCCTTTCGAGAGAATTTTCCAAATGTTTTTCCTTTGACTTTCCCGCCAATTTTACCAACAGCTTTTGCTAAGTCTTTTCCGCCAAATTTGGCAGCGGCTATTGCTAATGAATATTGCGTAAAGCAATCGCATTGTTTTTTTGCGCGCCAATTTTATTTTTACGTTTTGATTTTCGTGTAATTTTTCTACGAGCCATTTTTTTAACACAATTGAAGTATCATATTTTTTTAATACTTATTATTCTTTAGTTACAGATTTTGAATATATTTTTCAATAAATTAATAACAAAATAAAAGTATTTATAGTAATAAAAATCAACATTTATTAACTCCAATAATGGGTTTAGCACAATCAGGAAAAAAAGGAGTAAAAGAACTTGAACGTGTTGGACAAAAAAAGAAAAAACGTAAACACTTAATACAACAACAACGACAAAACGCTATAGCACGCGGTCAACGATTGGCTTTATTACATCGACGACGATATTTGAAAAATCAAAAAAAGGTCCATCAAGTAAAAAAATTAAAAAAATCACAAAAAGGGAAAGGAAAACGTTATGTAAAACGATTACGTTAATATGAACAAAAAATATCATAAAAAATATTAAAAAAATAAGAAATCAAAACCATTTTTAACACGTTCTAAAAAAACAGCTTTTGATTTTGTACGCGCGCCAAAATCACACACTTTTGGAAATACATTCAAACAAGAATTGGAATTACAACAACTTGCGTTACATAATAAACGTGACGCGCATATTTTAAAACAAAACCGTGAACAACAACGACACGAAGCAATGAATCGTGTTCTAAAAGAATATAATTTAATTGACGAAGCATACAAAAAAGAAAAACATTTAGAACAATATGCATCGCCATTAACACGAGTGAAAAATATACTTGAATCGGGTACATTCCAAATCCAATTGTACCGCTGGGTTATCAAAAAAATTACGCATATCGAGATCCTTATGATGATCAAATAACTTATCCTACAAACCCACTGGATTTTTATCTAACAATAATGCTGAAGGTAAATCATCTAATCATAATAGTCCATTATATGAAAATGAATGGGATTTTTAAAAATAAAAAATGGGTGCTGCATTGCTCTTAAAAACCATCTTGATAAAAAGAAAAAAAGCGTCGACGTGCTCGAGCTGCTAAAAAACGGCAAATGAAGAATAAAAACGCACCTACAAAATAGAAATTAATAAAACAACAATCAAACATAAAAAAAATAAAAAAAGAAAATAAATATTTTATAAAATTAATAAAAAATCAAGTGACCTCGTAAAAAATCTTTGTATATTATGGAGAATAAAGAAATACAAACGAAAATTGTAAAACATTTTGTAAAGACAATCCTGTATCGTCGCCGAAGACAACGTGGACGTGGTCACAAAACATGTCAACGTTGTTTTGGTCATAAAATGTATCAGCGCGGTCATGGAATGAAAATGCATCAACGCGGACACGGTGTGAAAATGCGACAACGCGGTTTTGATGTCCTTCGATATTAAAAAAATGCGAAAAACTTTATTAATATAAATGTGTTGTTGTATGTGAATTTTATAAAACTACATAAATATGCTTATTTTAATGAAATAAAAATTTAAAAAAATAAAAATGCAACCTTCGGCGCGTTCTCGAGCTTTAGCTTATGACAGACAAAGACGTAGTCGCCAAAGCCATCGCGCAACGTGTCCTGGTATTTCTACGGGCGCTAGGCGACGAACAACAACAACTCCATCCAGATATGGAACTCGAAAATTTACTGGCTCATATGGACCCGCCCCACCTATTCCAAGTCGGTCTTCTAGTCGAGGGGCGTTGTCTAAATATAGGAACGGGCCTAGACGCAAAAAAATTGCTTTTACTATTCCTTTTGGCAACGGCAATTCTAATTTATCTAAAGCACAACAAAAACGAAAAGGGCAAGTTTTAAGTCGACTTGCTAAATCCGCAAGCGCTTATTCGACTTCGAAAGCAAAACAATATATTGCAAGTCGTCGCGCTAATAATCAAAAACACTCGTTGAAACAACGCGCTTTCAATCAAGCTAAAAGCTATGCAAAAAAGAAAGGACAAGCTTATGTTGCAAAAAAAATGAAGCCGGGCCCTAAAGTAGGATCTCATAATACAAACACTAAGAAGGGTGTTTCATTTACAATTCCAGTCGGAAAAGGTAACACAAAAAAACGGCGACGCGTATTAGATCGTCTTTCTAGATCGGCAACTAGAAAATTAAATTCTAAACTAGCAAATATGCGAAAACAAAATCCAAAAGGTAGAAAAAGATATTATCACCGTGTAAAAGCATATAGTAGGCGGAGATATTTTTCATTAAAACGCCGTCGTCAGTTGGTTTAAAAAATGACCCCAGCTTTGTTTAAAGTGCTACTGAAGTGAAATTTTCATATTTCGTTTTTTAATACAAACGTTTTCTCTGTATTTTACTGATCATTTTGAGCTATCGCCCACTGAATTTAGTCGATGGGAACGCATCAAACTTTGCGTTCAAACATGTCATATTTGCATGTTTTGATGCGAATTTGACTTTGAGTGCGTGACGTCATTTAAAGGACGGAAGTTCAATTTTAAAGCTCTTAGTATATAAAAATTATATACGAACAAGCATATTTCCAACTGGAATTTTACATATTTTATAACTTCTCTTCGCAAAAATTGCGTATATTTAGTGACAAATGAGCAACACGCATAGGTAAGCAACATTTACAATCGATTAGAGTTTTATAAACTTTTTGAATTAACTCATATTTCTCAATAAACTGGGTGCCGCATCCTTAAGGAAGTCTGCGGTTTTAGCACACACGCAATGTTATCAGAAACTAACTGTAACGCGTTTATTTCCAATCATCCAATGTTTACTATTTTTATAAACTTCTGGATTAGACTTATCATTCTTATCATATGGGTGTCGCATCCTTGACGTAGTCTGTGGTTTTAAAATCCATGCAATATTATCACAACGCACATAATATAAGGAGAATAATTTTTTATTAAGTTAGTCAAACGTAACGATACACCGCAAGTTAAAATATGGCGGGTAGGCCAAAATTCGTTCCTCAGCAGTACTCTGTGCTATGTTCAATACATTTCGCAGATTCTGCATTCACCGTGAACGCAACAGTTGCCAAATCACTAAACATGAGACGACAATTGCGCTCTGATGCTGTTCCAACCATAGACTCTGTAAAAGGCATTTCAATCCAAGGTGATAAGAGCAATCGCGACCGCAGAGTTGTAAGTACAAAATTATACAAGTTAAATTACACAAGTTTGTATGCACAACCTGGAAATGCATGTAAATGTGTCTTATTATCTTCAACAGGTGTTGCGTGAAGTAACACGAAGTGTAAAAGATGTTGAACCCGCTGTTAAACATACTGATGATGAAGGGAATTCTGACGAGTGTAACACGACAGAAAGCGTTGATAGTGAACCAGTTAGAGAGGATTCACCAGAACCGTTGCCAAAACAAGAGCAAGTTGATGCGACATACTTGCCAAAAAAGTTACAAAACTATAAAAAAAACTCAGTTGGTTAAAAAAATCAAAAAAAGGCTGAGCGACAGTTTAATCATGGTACGTATTTACTTCTTGGAATAGGTGGTAAATAAATGTATTGAGAATAAGGTGCTTTGTATAATTTTTTTTTTTTTTTTGAAATAACAGGTTCTTTACGAAATAGTCAGAACTTGACCCGTTGGTGCAAATACATTTTATACAACGTTTGTCATCGACCATTGGAAATTTAAGCACTGTTACCTATTCTACGTTTTAGGAAAGTGATGATTCCGATACTGAAAGTGACGGTTCTCAATCCAGTAATGAGCCAAATGAATTTTTTAATATCGGCGATGTCCAGGATATTATTGGTGATCCTGACATTACAGATATGGATTGGCAATATGAAGACGAACCGTTTTCATCACAAGATGAAGCTGAAGATTCCCAGTCGAAAAACACTGTTAGGTGAGTTACAGCATAAATGTCGTAGAAAACGAAGTTAAACTTGTATGAATACGTGCTTAATTCTGTTTAGCATAGAACCTGGTACCCTGCCATGTGACCAATCCAAATTCATTGTCTTTTATGGCATGCTCATATCACAGTTCAGCATGTTTTGCTTCAATTGCAAAAGTCCAAATCCTCAGGTGGAAATCAAAAAGAAAGGTTCAATGGCTGTTTTAACTCAATGTTGTTCTATTTGTGGACCAACTAAAAATTTTCAATGGAACAGTCAGCCATATGTATTGGGAAGGCACGCTGCTGGAAATCTCATGACAAGTTTTGCCATTCTGATGTCAGGTGTCAGCATAAGTAAAGTGTTTTTACTATTCAAGCATTTGGGCCTTTGTTCAATCACCAGCAGAGCATATTATTTACATCAAAACAAGTTCCTGGTCCCCTCAGTGTTAATGCACTGGGAGAAGTATCAAAAAGCCCTGATTGAAAATGTGAAAAATATAGAAAATGCTACTTGGTCTGGTGATGGCAGATTTGATTCGATGGGCCACAGTGCTAAGTACTGTTCTTACTCCATGTTTTGTAACAGTATTTCCAAAATAGTTCATTTTGACATCAGACAGGTAGTCATAATATTTTTTTCAACTAATAAACAAATATTTTCATGTACATTTAAGATAATCAGTTCATTTTACTTGAACAAGACCTCAAAAATAATATTATAGTTTTTACATAAACTTCATTACCTTTCGTATAGTCAAATCAGTCAGGTAGTAGCAATGCCATGGAGTTGGATGGAGCTCAAAGATGCTTCAAGTTTCTTCAAGATAGAGGACTACAAATTCCAATATTTATTAGCGATCGTCAAAAGGGATTGCAAAGTGGATTCGAACATCTGAGAAGGAAACCCAGCACTTCAATGATTTGTGGCATGTTTGCAAAGGACATTCCAAAACAATATTAAAGGCTAGTAAAGAAAAAGGCTGTGAGTTGCTGGTGTTTTGGATTAAAGGTATCCGCAGCCACTTATATTGGTCGGCTATGTCTACTAAGATGGGATATGGAGATATGATTGTGGCAAAATGGAAATCCATTGCTAGGCACATTACAAACAAGCATGAAAACCATCCAGATGAGTTGTTTCCTAAATGTGCTCATGGAGAGCTAGATGAACGTCTATGGCTTCAAGTTGGTATGAGCATGCACACATTTAGGCAGCAAGACAGAATTGAGATTGTTAAAACGTCTAAAATGTTATTTAACACTTTTCAGATGGGATTGTATTCTTTTTAAGGAACTAAATCATATCAGCGACTTTCCTCCATTCTGTTGAAAAAATCTGTTCTCAAAGATGTTAAAAAACTATCTTCAGAAGCACAAACTAGTTGTCTCGAAGGTTTTAATTCAACATTAAATGGTTGGCATCCAAAGATGACCCACTTTTCTTGGCTTGGTACATATTGCAGGTAACTTGTAATCACTGTTCTCTATCTGCCAAGTCTTTTTTACTTGTTCCTAGTCAAGAAAAAAAATTACATAGTAAATGGTTTGTTCCGTTTAGGCACGTACTGGCAGTACTTCATTTTAATGAAAACCTTCACAGACAGCCAAAGAAAACAAAAAATGGAATACCATATTATTCTGTGACATACCCAAAATTTAAATCAGGGGATGAAGTAGTAAGAACTGTTTCTTCAGCACCATCATATTGTAAGTTTAGCATGTATGCATTGGTACTCTTGACTTACACATCTAACCACTTGTCATTTTTCCAGACTATGTTAATGAAATCAAAATTGTCATGGTTCTTAGTTGTGAGGAATCCATGGACAACATATTTAAGAAGTATAAGGAAAAAGTCCCAGAAGCCTTAAACAAAACTTTCTCGGATCGAATTTCCAAAACTGAGGCCATCAAACGGCAGTTGGATAGGAAACAACTTTCTTCAACACCATTGTTTCCCAAATGTAAATTGTTCATGCTACCATGTATAATAGGTATGGCCAGTGCATTCCTAAAAGTAAACACATTAAATTGTTATTTATAGATCAACAGCAAGATGTACTGCAAGCAAAAGGTTAAGACAAAGAAAAACAAGCTGCTTCAACAGGTCCTTCAGATCCAAAAAAAACGCGCTTATGCAAAAATTGTGGACAGCCAATGAAAGGACATCCAAAAAGCCATTGTCCACAAGAATTACTTGACAAATATTCTTAGCAGGCCAACTTTAAAGTTAGTTATAAAATAAAAACTATGCTACAAAAAATGTTTCCTATTCCTATCAGTTTCTTTCCTGTGCTGACTTGTAGCCAGCATGTTCTTGGCTTGGGGATTTCATAATGGAAATCGTTTTCGGATGTCTGTGTAGATACATGCAGGTAATGGTCTAGAATTTTCCCAACCAAGGCATCCACACAGCCATCGAATGACCCAACGGTATGCAACTGCTCTCAAGTATCTATGAGAAATTCAAAATAGTAATTTCTATTTGATTATTTATTTTGACTTCACACAACAAAATTGTAAAGCATCACAGCACAATAATGAACCACATAAAGGTAAAAAGTAGAGATACATGGCAAGATATTAATCATTCGTTACAAAACAAAATTAGAAATCAAAAATGTACTAACTCATTTTCATGTATTCTACGACGCTTGTATGACCTTCCATCTTGGTCTCTTAGAAGTGAGCCAACATTCTTCAAGACTGTAGCATGTGTCATAATCGTGTACTCTTCGTGAAGAGCTAATTTTTTCAATGCTACCATCGAATACCAGTTTATGTAAAGTAGGCCCAACCTCTTGACAACAACGGTATTCAATGGCATCTGTCAGCAGTTGAGTACGACACAAGCTACATGCACACCTATAAAAAAGTGGTTTGTTATCATATTTATGCACCACGACATAAGGACAAAATAACATGTTTAATTCATGGTTTAATTTCTTCTAGAGTTCTAATAACATTTATCAACTTACCACTTATCTAACTGAACGGTTCCTTCGAACCTCGTTTCCAATGTTCTAAGCCATCTGCGTCTTCTTCGACCGACACAAAATTCTCTCCGACTGCGTTCGCAAGAGGTTCATTTTCGTAAGGATTTACAACTGAATTAGCCACAATTGTATCCTCATCGCCGGAATTCGAACGTAAATTTTCATTTGCCATATCTGAGTTTTCAGTATCCGAACTGCGTTCGCTTTCACTGCTTGAAGAACTCATATTTTATTGTGTATATGTGTTAAAAATCTAACAAAATACTAGTAAATCAATGATCATACTTTGACTTCCGTCCTTTTAATTACGTCACATCCGTATAATATTTCAGTAGTAAAAATTCGCACGCGTAACCCAACTTTGAGCAAAAATTTATTGATGATCCCGTAATTCAATATGCAAAAAAATTATACCAAAGTGATCAGGAAAGATAGAACTATTTGATTATAGAAAAAAATCGATGCCCAAAATTTCATTTCAGTAGCACTTTAACGTATTTTTATATAATCGAATATTTGTGACAAATAATTTTTCAGATGAAATATTAAATACAATCACGCGTAATAATGTACAATTTTCTAAATTATTGAGTGAATTCAATACGTTGGATCGTAAACGATTGTATTTTCTGTTAACAAATCCAATATCATTAATCAAGGTCGAGCCATTGTTTTTACGGCCTTTGTTCTTTTCTGCTACAATCAAGGAATCATTTCTTATTCCGATTATATTTTTACAATGAAAAAAATATGTGGTGAAATAAAAGGCCAAATGTCGACACCGTCTAAAATAATTCATTATCTGGCGAGCACGGTTAAGCTTTGGAGTCCTTTTTCAGTTTTGTAAAAAAATGGTGTTTACAAAAATCACGGCCACGTATGTAGGTATTCTAGATCTTAAAATAGGACTTACAATCGCCAATCATTATCAAAATTATTATTCAACACGCGCCATCAAAACTCATGATTTCATAGACGATGAAAGTACAACCGTGCTAGAGATTGTATTTGAAGGATTTTTCGCGTATCGTTCGAAAGAAATTGATTTTTTGAAGAAACAAGGATGGAGTAAAATACGTGTAGAATCACGCGACGATGAATATAAATTAACCGATGTTCGCCCTAAATAAATTACGCCTATTTTTAATTTTACAAAAGAAACTTATCCCGATTATGTTCAAGCTTTTCAAGAAGAAATGAAACAATACATGGAGAATCAACAATTAGAAGAAGATTTGCAATTATCGTCATCGTCTTCTCTAGGCGAAGAAGATAAATTACTTAAAAGAAAAGCTGACGTTCTTGAAGATTCGCTAATTAAAAATAAAAAGAAGACCGCAAAACGACAAAAATCAGTGAAAAAGTCAAGCGAAGACGTTAAGGAAGAATCGTCAAATAAAAATGCAAATGTTGTGGATAATGCAGGAGAATCCGTGGCTGTACCTGAAACTAATCTATGAATATTTATGCACGCATTATATATTAACTGTATCAATTGCAGTGATTGTGATTTTTTTCTTGTTCCTCGGACTATATTATCTATATATATTCATTTTACTATGGTACTATATTATAAAAATGGATTTTAAGTTGTTTTATTACATTGTAAATTACGATTTGGTCGTACATAAATAATGAAGCGAGCGCGCGATCAATCTACGCAAACAGAAACCATGTATGCAAAATATATTAAATTAAATGAATTTAAAACAAACGCAAATCGTTTTTTTATTACGGAAGATATGGCAAATGCCATCGAACAATTAACAGAAGAACAATCTAAAAGCAACATCTGGTATTCGCAACGAAAAGGTCGATTTACAGCTTCACGCATTAAAGATATTGTGTTAACAAAACAAGAAAATTTAGATAAATTGTGTGCGGATTTATTGACGCCAAATTTTATTAATAATCAATATGTACAATGGGGTAAAGACCATGAAGATGTAGCGCGTCATATGTATGTTGAAAAAATGAAAAAGCGGCATAAAAATTTTAAAATTTTTAATACGGGTACGAAAATTAATCCAAAATGGCCATGGTTGAGTGCTTCAGCCGATGGCCTCATTTCGCGTGATTGTCATGGTGAAGGCATCATTGAAATTAAATGCCCGTGGAGTGTGAAAGATTTGAAAATTGGACAAATTGATAAACCTAATTTTTATATTGCGTGGAATCGTGAAAAACGCCATTCGTGTTATTATCAAATTCAATTGCAATTGGCGTTGTACGAAAAAAATATGCACATTTCATTTTATGGAAGACGAAAGGAATTTATATCGAATGTGTGCATTTAAATGAAAAATTATACTGTTCTTGAAGCGCTGTTCTTGATCACGCGCTCGGACAACAAGGAACACAAGAACAGAATACGGCGTTACAACTTAAAGTAAATCAATTATCGAAACAATGGGTTGATCGAGAACAAAATAATTTATTAATGGCATATGAGAATCATTTTTCGAAAGTTGTCGGTGTTTATTTTGATTATAATAGCGAATATCAACGACTTGTTGGTTTAGATTGTTTTTTTTTCCATTCATCGAGCGTATTGTAACAACGTATGTTAATGATACAATGCCGACGGATATTAATTGTTTTTTGGAATTCACGAAAAACAGCATGGATTTTGGTATGAAATTGCAAAAGACCTATATAAGTTTTCGATCGTGAAGGGACGCGAAAAATGGAAATTTATTCAAGAAGGATTGAAAAACGACGATTATAAAGGCGATTACGTGCTAACATTCGATCAGGCAAATAAAGATGAACTTAACAATTTTCGTGCTACATATCCTAGTGAAAACATTGAAATACATAAATAAAATTGTAGCTATATAAATATATTTGTTCTTTTTACTTTATTTAACAATGGGGCATGTGTTTTCGCGTAAAAAACCACGCTATAAAAAATTGAAATCAAATCACAGCAGCCGACGCAAGAACAGCCGCAGTGTTGTAGATGCGCGAGTTTCTTTTATTATGCACAAGTCAGCGGGCATTGTTTGACGGGTGGTGATTTGGAATATTACCATCATTTATTCAAACATGAAATTCAAAATGCCGCTTCGTATTCAAGCCGTTTTACGTAATTTTTCAAATCATATTGCTCTCAAGCACGTGTGTAATACGTGGCCCTTATCGCAGTTGGATCCCAACGACCATGAAAAAATCAACGAAGCGTATTACTTGTTTTTATTAGATCAAGTATTTGAAAAATATCATATAGCGTGCGCTCGCAATGATACAACGCATTGGTTGGCGTATTAATACGCTTTATTTTTCATATTAAAGTACGTTGAACCAAGAATAGATTATAATAAATTTACAGCATCGCCCATTTATCCTATAACGCTTGTATAATAATGGATTTCTTAACAGAGGATGAAATTAATCTTTTATTGAATCCTAAAGCAAAATTGTATTATGAAAAAATATTAAAAAAATCTTATAAAAAAAGGAAAAAATGTGAAAAGAAAGTATTAGCAATTAAAAAATTATTACGTCCATTAAATCATCGTATACGCCGTGGCGATGACGTATTCAATCAAAGAAAATATATGAAAAATAAAAAGAATTTTTTACACGAACGCGCACACGTTGAATTGGAAAAAGAATTTAAAGAACGTTTGAATTCTATTTATTGGATAACGCGCAATGAATTATTCCCAAATCAACGAAAAATATAAATATTTAAAAAACCACATTACCTTAATAAAAAAGACGCCGAAACTTATTTCCGTCAACTATTTAATGATTACGAAGATTGTTTGTTAATCATATTGTAAACAACTTTGATTTTGTATTTATTTTGTGATTTTACCGTCTTAAATAAATCAGTGCAAATATTTACTTCCTAATTGACTATTCAATGTGTCTATTTAAATCATGTTTTGCAATTAAACACTAAAATTATTCCATCATGGGTTCTGTTAAACGACCAGCAACTAAAAATTTGTTGATTACACCGAAAGTGAAGATGATTCTGTTGAAAGCGTTCCAGTTAAAAAAATTAAAAAAGAACCACTTGTTGTTTCGGAATCAGAATCCGAACACGATAGCGATGTAGAATTTATTGCAGATGATGAGGAGGATGAGGAGGAGGCAATGTCTTCTGAAAGCGAAGATAGCGCAATTGAAAATGAACGAGAAGATGTTACAGTAGAAACTATTAAAGAAGAGGAAGATGACGGC